GAGGGGCAGTAGGCAACTTGGAGGGAAGGAGGCTACTGCCACCATCCAGGAAATGTGATGATGCTTTGGCCTGGGAAGCCAGAGCCACTGGAGGAGATGGAGCAAAGGATGTAGATGCGAGGAGCAGCTCCATGGCATAATCAGCGACACTTGGCCTTCAGATGTTGGAGTGGAGAAACAGGGAGATGTCTAGGACAACTCCTAGACTTCCGGCTTGGTGTCATTCACTTAGCGAAGAGACATTCCTGGTGGAATGTTTCATATGAGAGGATGATGAGTTTAGGGTTGGACATGCTGAAATGGAGGCAAGCTGCAGACACAAGCATCTGGAGCCCAAGAAGAAGTCCAGTCTGGAGACCGGGATTTGGGGGACATAAACACAAAGCTATTCCCAATATCCAGTCAGATTTGATCTCATCAACTCCCACAGGAAGATATTTATATGTCTGCTTTATTCCTAGCACTTAGTGATCACCTATTTCTGCATCTGTCAGCCCAACTAGACCAACCTTTTAGAAGACAGAGCCTATGGGACACTGCACCTCATATAGGTTGAGCAATCTTCTCCATGTACCCCAGCACATAAGTAACAGGGACGAAATGTAAGCTCAAGTCCTCTTCATCTGGATGCCCTATAGCTTCTCTCATGGGTAAGTAAGGTGCATGGGTTGTGGCAGGTGGATCCAGGGAGTAACATGGACATCTGGAGAGGCCACTGACTTCACACAGAGTGGCAACAGGAATGTGGAACCATGAAGCACAAGGCTGTGAATATTTACTTGAAATTTTTTCTACACTGCAACTGAGTACCAACATTTTATCAGACATTGTGGGAGTCATATTCTATACCATTGCTCTTTACAACATCCCTGCTCTAAGGGAGGTGGTGGTGTGTGCTACCAAGTTGATTCTGACTCATAGCAACCCTATAAAACCAAACTCACTGCCGTTGAGTCCGTTCCAGCTTACAGCTCCTTGGGTTTCCAAGATTGCCTGGTCTTCCTTCCGCAGAGTGGCTGGTGGGCTTAAACCACCAGCCTTCTGGCTAGCAGCCAAACGCCTTAGGCACTACGCCACCAGAGCTCCTTTGTATTAACATACTCACAGCTGATGAGTCAATTCCAACTCATAGCCACCCCTCCTTGGGTTTCCAAGAAGGTATCTCAATAGATGCAGATTGCCCAATCTTCCTTCCAATTGTATTAACATAGGGAGTTTTAATGCCAGGTGATGGATTTTGAATGACTTGGCACCTCCTGTGGTTAACAGCCTCTTCAATCAGCCCATAAGTTTGAGCTGTTTTTGAAATCTTCACACACACTCTGCTTTTAGCCATGCATCACTCGGCACAGCCCTGTGGAGGCAGGGAGTTATTGGAAAGGCAGACGGATCACCCTCACGTTGTGGAGGACAGAGATGTGGAGAACCCACACCATTGAGTGCTTTGCTGGGCCAGTCTCATTTCATCATCACAAGGATTCTCACCATCATTTTATCGATGAATAAAATGAGGCTCAGAAAGGCCAGGTCACCTGCCCAAGACACACGGGTCACAAGTAGCACCGCAGGATTTGAATTCACATCTGCTTCCACCAAAGTCCATGCATTTGCCACTCTGCTATCCTGTGTGTGAAAGCTGCGATTCTCATTCTGTCTCTTTCTCTCCCCCTCCTCCCTCTCTGCCATCCTTCTGCTCACTGGGCCTTCGGATGGGAAAACTGGGCCCAGTGAGTCTTTTGCACATTCACTAATGCAGGGAACTGGACAACTGACAGCTGATTATGAATGTACACGGCCTACACCTGGTCAGAATATTACCCTCAGCACAGTTCACTGTTCACAGTGCTGCATGCATGCTGATGGGAAACTGCAATGAAGATGTGGCCTCTGGTTGCCAGTGGAAACAGGACTTCCCACGGCAGATAACCAGCTACCAGTTGCCACTGAGTCAATTCCAATGCACGGTGATGCACTCCCTGCACATTAGAGTGGAACTGGGCCCTAGGGTTTTCACTGGCTCACTTCTCAGAAGCAGTCACCAGGCTTCTCTCCTGCGGCATCTTGGCGTGGACCCACACCTCCAGTCTTCTGGTTAGCTGCCAAGCACATTTACCAATTGCACCACCAGGGTCTCCAAAGTCAGGGGACTTCGGGATGATTTGGCTGAGTGCAGGGAAGTTATTAAAATTCGCTGAGTCTCAGCTATCTTGGCTGTCAAATGGGAATAATGATACCTTGATGGGATATTAGTGAAGACAAGTGGGTCAAAGTCCAGAGATGTTCTGTAATAGATGCCCCATCAGTGAATGCTCCTCTTCTCCTTGTCAGCGATAGGAGCCACTCTGAATAGTTTCTACCCTGTACGAAAGATCCATAGCAAGTGTCTGGCTCTCATAAAAGCTCATAAAGTGATCTGACCCAGGCCCAATGAGCTATCACTGGTCCAACCACTACTACGATGAGAGAGTCAAGGCATGTGAAAGCACTTTGCAAAAGGGAAAGAGTTTTATGCTATTTGCTGGCAAATATGCCCATTGATAGGGAGCTCTGGTGGCACAGTGCCTAAGGCATTTGACTGCTAACCAGAAGGCTGGTAGTTCAAATCCACCAGCCACTTCTTGGAAGGAAGACTGGGCAATCTACTTCCGTTGAGCTAATACCTCAGAAACCCAAGGAGGGGTTGCTATGAGTCCATTGATCAAGGGGCAGGAGAAAGGACAAGGAATTTGAAGCCATAAAGACCAGGTGCGAATCGTGGTTTTGCTACTTATTTCCTTCAGGATTTTTCACAATCTCTCATGTTTTTCCACCTCTGAATGTCCTCATCTGCAGAATGAGAAAAGTCACTCTGACTTGCACTGTAGCTTATGGCCCAGTGGCTGGCACATTTGTCAGCCACTGGGAATGAAAGAGGGCAGATTTCTCTGCTGAACACCAAGACATGTAGCCAAAACACAAGGAGTAATTAAAAACAAATGGTTCCTACACAAAGCAAGAATGAGCTCCACGGCGAAGAGCTTTGTGTAAACTACATTTATTTTCAAAAGTAGCCTTGATAAAAACAGCATATGTAGCAAACACAAAACAAGAACAGAAACCTTGCCTGTGACACACAGCCCTTAAGTCAGGCAGATGTTGGCACATAGAAGATGCAGCCAGAGGTTGGAATATACAAGACTCAACTCAGCCAGATGTTGGCACGTAGAAGAGTCAGCCAGATGTTGGAACACAGGAGTGTGTATTGAGGGGAAGGACTCCTCCGGATTCTTGGGGAATGGAATAAAAACAGTAAGTGTGGACGGGCTAGTCCTATGTTCTTCATGACGCTGACAGGAGTGGGCCACCTGGACACTCATGAGCCCCGAGTACACTGAGCCCTTGAGAGGTTAGAGGGTGGGGGGACTGTCAGGTGTGTCTGTGTCTTCCACATCTGCAATTTATATTTGCAAACTATACACCCCAACATAAAGAAACAAAAGTCCTCACAACTGGACCAATAAGCACCATCCTGATAAATGGAGAAAAGGTTGCAATTGTCAGGGATTTTATATTACTTGGATCCACAATTAACACCCACGGAAGCAGTAGTCAAGAAGTCAAATGATGTATTGCACTGTGAGAATCTGCTGCAAAAGACCTCTTTAAAGTGTTGAAGAGCAAAGATGTCACTTTTAAGACTAAGGTGTGCCTGACCCAAGTCATAGTATTTTCACTTGCCTCCTTTGCAGTGCAAAAGCCAGACAATGAATAAGGAAGACCAAAGAACTGATGAATTTGAATTATGGTGCTGGCAAAGAATACCGAAAATACCACGGACTGCCAGGAGAATAAACAAACTTGTCTGCGAAGAAGTACAGCCAGAATGACCCTCAGAAACTAGGATGGCGAGACTTTCTCTCTCGTACTTTGGACATGTCAGGAAGGACGTCCCTAGAGAAGGACATCATGCTTGGTGTAGTAGTTAACTTGGCTGGGCCTGGTTGAGTGGCTGGGCAGCTGGATGTAGTTATTCCCCATAATGAGACTGGCAATCAACTCCATGGTGGAATCTGTTGTGAGCAGCTGAGTAGCTCCCTTAGGGATGTGGTCTGCTTCTCGTATATAAGGAGAAACCCTGGAAATGGTCTCTAGCTTTTTAGCACACTTGAACCCTGCATGTAGCTGAGTCTTCATTCAGTAGCCTGCCATGCTCTGCCGATCTTGGGACTTGCAATGGGCTTGAATCAATGGCCAGCTGTGTGGTGTGGTAATAACGGGGCTGTGCCTTTTTACTCACTGACCTTGGGTTTGTCAGCCTCAGCAGCCCAATAGCTACCTGAGTGAATAAAGCCTCCAGCTTCAGTGGGCGGGAGCAGGAGGCAGAGCTGAAGGCCAAGGTTGAGGGGCTTTCACCCAGCCCCTAGAGCCTGGCACTTTGAACTCCGACTTCTAGCCCCCAAAAGTGTAAGAGAATAAATCCTTGTTTGTTAAAGCCACTCATTTGTGGTGTTTTTTGTTAGAATGGCACAAAGTAACCAAAACCCTTGGTAAAGCAGAGGGTCAGAGGAAAAGAGGAAGCCCCTCAATGACATGGATTGCCACTGTGGCTGCAACACTGGTTTCAAACACAGCAATGATTGTGAGGATGGTACCGGAATGGGCAGCATTTCCTTCTGCTGTACATAGGGTCACTTAAAAAGAAAACCCACCAAACTCACTGCTATTGAGGTGATTCTGACTCACAGCGACCCCCTTTGGGTTTCCGAGACAGTAAATCTTTGCAGAAGTAGATTGCCCAGTCTTCCTTCTGTGGAGTGGTGGCTGGTGGGTTTGAACCGCCAACCTTCAGGTTAGCAGTCAGATGTCTTAGGCACCATGCCTAAGCTCCTTCACGGGTCACCAGGAGTTAGAATCAAGTTGATGACACCTGACAACACCACCACCACCATAAACACACACACATACTCATGCGCCGGAGAAAACAAATCCATCTTTAGACTCTTACAGAGCTTTTCCTTGGGCTAGTCCATGCCTAAGGCCCAAATGGCCTTTTTGGAATTCAGAAAGTTCTTCTTTTTCCTGGCAGGAACATGCAGTGTGATCTCTGGCTCCTTCAGATTCCGGAATATAAAGAGCTTTTCGCCTGTGTTTAACAAGTCAACACTTTCTGCCCCTATAATAGACACAGGGGCCAGTTCGCCGAGTGGCTCCAGAGACAGGTGGGGCCAACTTCCTTTTCCAGGGAATACCACCCTCTCGGTGACAGGGAGACACGTCTTCTTCAATAAGCTAAGGAAAGAACAGAAGGTCAAATTCAACATTGTGGCCATGGACCCTCCTGGGTGTACTGAGAGTTCCCTTTTGGATTCTGGGGTTCCCAACCAAACGTGTTTGAAAAGAAAGTTTTTTCCCTTTGTTTACCCAATTTCTCCTTAAATTAGGGGAAACCCATGGCAGTGGTGTGCTACAGCAAGCTTTGGGTTCATTGTTAAATTTTCTGGAGCTTTGTGAGCCAGTTGGCATCAAGTTGTCAGCTTGAAATTGGCCATGGTGGGAGAATTTACACCATGGAAATGAGCCAATGCTACGACTAGTTAAACACTGACTAGGAGAGGCGGGGCAAGATGGCGGACTAGGCAGAAGGATTGCACAGACCCTCTTCAACAAAGAAAAGGGAAACCAATTAATACAGACACAGAAGATAATCTT